TCCGAACCCTCGGCGGGAGCGCCACCACGCTTCCCAAGCGGCGCACTATAGCAGTGCGCCACCGGGCCGGCCCTCAGTGCTCTTTCTTTTGAAAGATAAATATATGAGGACTGAAAAAGTCAAGTACAATGTACCAGTAGTGCTAACCCACATAGAGAAAATCAACAAAACAAGTTTTATATCCACAATTTCTTGATCAAACCAGAGCAAATTAAGTAAATTCTATAGTAAAAGTACTTCCTATTTATTCTTTTACTATTTAGCAACTCATAAAATAAAAATGTAACATAGTTCATTTCCTGAGCAGTAACTCCAAGCAGTTACCAAAAAGGAACTCAACTTTCAACTCTAAAATACAGTTCTATAATGTTCTAAACAGCCCATATCCTACATTACAACAAAATTAAAGCATTTATCTTAAAACTCATTTGAAAATGCCTAGAGACTATAAACTCCCAATTACTTCAAAGTAAAAAAAAAAAACAAAAACAAAAAACCCCACACACATAATTAATTTAAATTGCTAATACAGTCACTCAAACTTGCTACTCGAGAGAGACCCGATACAACCCAAATAGCCAAAAGCTTTTTTATTGTAACACCAGTGGCATTGTTTGCAACACTGCTTCAAGTTATAACACAGAATAATTCAGTAAAAATTTATTTTACCTTTGGCTTGTATACAACAGCTGATTAACTTCCAAGAGGTTCCCACTGACATTACTGGATCCCAATATTTAATTGCCAAAGCTGAGACTGTTTCAGAATTATGTAAATTATGTAGCTAGTTTAAATATAAATCTGATACTACCCCCAAATATATTACTTGTTTTGCCCCATGGCAATATAGCGAAACTATAGTTAATCAGACAACTCATTTATCCCAACTGGTAAAACAGCAGCCATTAACTGGGGGCTTTTTTAAAAATTTATTTAATCAATCAAGGAAAGACATAAGAGGAATGGAGTGACTGATTCAGTATGCTGAATGGTTTGCTATGACAGTATAAACTTTATTCCATGAAAACCACAGAAAACATTCTTGGGGACTTGTCTAACATGACATGATATATTAAAGTCTCATGGCAGAACTTATGTATAGAATTACTCCAAGAGTTCACCTCTTGCTGTCCCTATCTACTTAAAAGATGGATATGAAATCTATGAATCTTTCCCTCACCTGAACCAAATAAATGCCCACTGCTTTGTTTATTTAGTTCTCAAAATAGTCCTCTATGATACAGTAGTCACAGACTGAGGTAGATCCCTGGGACATGCATACATACAAATGCACAAAATAGAAACTTTCAAGCTGTGTCAATTTTGTGAACCCTGAAAGAAGTACTGCATTGGGTGAATTTCACTTCCCATCATGATTTTTTGTAAGAATAAAATACTGTAATTTAAGAAAAGGGATCTCATGCTGTTAGTATTAGGAACATCTGTGTCCTATTCATGACCATTTTTAGGAAAACTACCAAGAAGTTTACTGTCCAAGAAAAGACACAATAAGAAAATTAATATTGAAAAGAAAAAAATGTTAACCTACAAACATCCTTGCCACCTTTATCACTTTTCAGCTCTAGTTCTCTGTATTTCACTTGTTTCTTAGCAACCACAGAGGATTCAAGCGGGTAGGGTAAGCACATGCAGAACGAGGAAAAAAAAATTAAACTGTTTTTTTTTAAAGATCTAGAACCAACTGTACTAAACCTTGATCTCTTAACCTAGGAATCACTCAAGACAGGGGTCCAATTTAGATAAATATACCACCCTAAAGGTCAGTGACCAAATTTGGTCAACAGCGGTGCCATCACTGCCGTCATCGTTCTTGTCACTGTCAGGAACAACTGTCACCTTGCCATTACCAGGAAGGGAAAGCAACTGGAATATTCCTTTTGTAAGTTCTATTTACAGACTACAAAGAGCCCAACATCATCTTAGTATGATCTTACAACATGGTAACAGTGGAAGAACCCAAGATAGAAAAGGCCTCCCAATGAATAACTTTTGATACTTAAAGCTAATAAACCACAAGAACTTATAAAATCCTGTCTCATTTGGAAACAAATTCTCACTGCACTGCAAATGTCAAGCATCTATTTATTTTCTGAACACAAATGGCTTCAAGTGTTTTGTTTATAATTTTAAAATACCTAGATTTTGTTTATTTTTAAGATTGAAACACACCTTAAGTCTCCAAATATGTCTTCACTCCATGGACATCATTTGTTTTCTGTTTTATCTATAGAATATTTTCAGCTTTTGGGGGGGGAAGAAAATAAAACTTTTTATACTCACAAAAGATATACATGCTGCCAGCAATAAAATCCTAACTAGTAAGTCTTCAAACTGTTCAATCACAAGTTCCAGCAAGGTTTTTCCTGTTAAAAACGAACATATTTGTTGTAACAGTCATATTAAAATCAGTACACAAAGGAGGGTGTTAAAAGAAAAAAAAAAACATGTTAAGATTACTTACCTTCTTCAGCCGGTAACTCTGTAGAATGTAGAAATTATCCAGGCAACGTGTCAAGAACGGGATTTAAAAAAAAAAAAAACACACACACACATTATAGAATTCTAAAAAAAAATCTGCTAAAATTACAAGCATCAATATCTTTGAAAGGCAGGCCCAGCTATATAAGCAATCATATTTTTATATTGAAAGCATACTAGAATGACATCCCAAGAATATGTGCAATACTTGCAATCAATGGCAAAACAAAATTATTCAGAGCTCCTGAAGCAAGGAATCATCACTCCTGCCAGATGAGTAACTTTGGGTAGCGTAAGAACGGTTAGAGGCTCTCTTAACTACCAAGACGCCTCGTAAGTCGGCTGGGGACAAGAAAATGTCTCACAGGGCTCAACCCAGCTGCAGGAGACTCGTCCCTCCCTCCACGGGGACCGGCTGCTGTTGGAGAGGAGCCGCCGGGCTAGCTGCGAGCCGGGAAGGTCAAGGGCTCGAGACCCGAGGAAGTCGAGGGGAGGCGCAGCCCGCGACCGGCGCCCCCC